TTAATGTGCATTGCACCCATACGCGCTGGTAAATAGGCAAGTGTTTTTCATTCCGCATGTCTTTAGTTTCGCTTGTGTCTTGAACTGTTCGCTGACATTGCTTTCACGAGAAAGGTTAAAGCTCGAGAAGTCAGCTTCACAGTTTCTTTACGAAAGGCTGTTTACCTTTATCAACTTCGAGTTGATATTGGCGCAGTATAGACGCGTGGAGGACAACCCTTACGTACAGTTTCTATACCGGTAAATTATTCTTTACTGTCTCCTTTTGATTATTTACATGTTAATTACATGTTATTTACATACTTTGTAAATTTTCAACTCTCCCAGTGTTGTACATGTAGAGTCAAGATCAGTCACGGTTTGCGCATATTGAAAAGTTTAGCCTCAATTTTTCAAATTCGTCGCGTTTGTAATCCGTGTTAATTTTCTCCATCCTTAGCCATCCTTGGTCTTTCATGGTTTATCATTATCTCTTTGGTGTTTTTCTATCTTATTAAACTGTTATTTTCAGGTTTCCTACCATTGTAAGGTAATTTTGTGTATGGCCAAAATAACCCAAAATAACGTGACTGAACCCCTTCAAATACATAACATCAATAACTGAGTCCCGCAGGGTTGTCAGTTGGTTTTTGAGTAGCAGTTTCATTGCAAAAAGTAGGTTGCTAAGGTTTGCGTGACACAGCATAAATTGACCAGCAATCATTAATTTACAAATAATCTTTACGTTTATTTAGGTGGAACACCAGAGCTGTTTTGATCATTACGACTGTAATGAGTTCTAACAAAAATTTGAATGTGTTATGTACACAATACTTTACAGATAAATAACCGGCATAATGAACTTTATTTCTTTCAAATGAGACCAAATCCACATTTATTCGAAGTCTTCTTTCCTTTAGAATTACCCTATCGCACTCGAGTCTAGGGCGATTCTGTTATCGATGTTTCTGGCCTTAGGACGCGTTATTACAAGCATATTCGTTCCTTCACGGCCGAAAAAAAAACGTTGAATCAAGGGATAGAAATTACTCACAAGAGAGCAGGCTTCCAACTTATCAAAATGGCAAATTTCTGAGGTTTTTAGTGCAGAGTGCACCATTGAGGTGGTTTAGGGGGCTGCTGTTCGCTGAGGTATTAGCTCAATAACATGTGCTGATCACTTGTCGAGCCTCAATATCCAAAACTCAGTTCAAAATATAAACTAAGAACGATCTGACGAATATACATTTGAAGAATATACATGTGGCTGGTAACGTTGTGCAGTACTTGTTCTGCGATGTACCATCTTATGTCAGCTGGTGTGCATTATAATCTTTGATAAACACCCTAACCTCGTCCCCAAGGTCTTTTCCACTTTTCAATTTTATAAATCGTAAAGAGAAGACCCTTGGGCCAAGGTTGAAAATACGCATAGCGTCAAATGTCTGTAAAAGTCACAAAACATTCAGCACCCAGGTTTTGTCATCCGCTACACCTCTGGTAAAATTCTCTCCGGGCCGATTTGGCGTTTAAATGACTGTTAGTCCTTTTGAAATTTGTTTGTGCTCCCAATCAGACTGGATAAACATCGATGATTATAACCCCTGATATATAGCTCCAGTCTGAGACTCAAACTTTTCAATATGCGCAAACCGTGACTGAGCTCCTTTAAATTGGCAGTTTTACTTGAAATCAGTGAGTAAATCTCAAATGTAAGTACCGTGGAACCTCGATATTATCAAGGGCCAAGGAGCTGGCGAAATATGTTCGCTATAACGAGGTTTCGTTACATCGGGGTTCTTTTCCATGTATTTTACTATTTTGGGGGCGAGGAATATCGTTCGTTATACCGAGGACTTCGCTATATATATAGGTTTTACTGTACTATCTAATTTGAACAGGTTCCTGGCCGGGTAGGCAAACAATTGGCGACCCAATCGGGTGCCTGTTCACAGGCTACTTTATGAACCAATCACCCTACTAGCTCCTACACAAAACGATAATTTTCACCGCAGATTTGTTTACAAATACAATTATTTTGAAAGAAATTAACATAAACCCTTGTATATGACGTTTCTGCATCATCTTGTCGCCATCATCAAATACAGATAAGTTTTTAAGTTGGTTTGGTGCAAAAGAGTCAAGAAAAACTTATGTCAGAGACAATTTGAAAACTTTAAACACACAAGCTGACTCTATTCGCGCGAAAACTGTTTAATCAGCTGATACGTTTCTGGAGTCTTTTATGTCTAGATTTAATATATGCGATGTCTATGATTTAAAAATCTGCATTTGATAATGACGAAACATTTGGGCGTATATATATTTAGCTGTCAACCTGTAATCCTTATTTTGAAATAATTACTTCGCTTTCCAAACATACACGGATATTTGCCGGTTGACATTATCTGTTCCACGAAATGAACAGCGTTCTGAGAGCCTCATGGAAAAGATATTCTCCAAGCACATATTCATATCTAGACTTCTCGGGTTGATCAAGATATATCAGAGAGCTTAAGCACTGACGACGGCGACACCAAGGACGCCTTGTAAAATAATATATAGCTTTAGCCAAGCGTAAAAGCGGAGCTCCTTATTACAGTAATTAACCATAGACTGAAAAAGAGGATTTGTTTCCAGTTAAATTATAACAAACTTTCCCTAATAAGCGTACCCAATTTTTCCAAGGTTGTAAAAATTGTGTAAGCAATGTATCAGGGACTTGTGCAAGGAGTACATATGTCGGAAGAAAAGTCAACAACGCGCCATCTAGAGGTTTATTTGGGCCGAAATTTTGGAGTTGCACGCACTCCCTACTTCTCTCCCAGAGTAATAAACTGACTTGAGCCTGCGATCCAATCGAAAACCAGTACCTGGTCAACGATCAACTTGGAAAACCACGTGATGTTGATGAGCTGTAAACCAGAGCCCGTTATATCGTCAAGTGATACCGGTCAGCGGATAACTTGTTTTGACAGTTGTCAAGTAACCATAACATGGACGTCCAACATCACAGATGTACCTATGATAATGGCACTACTTTTCCTTTTTTCCAAGGTATGAGGCTTGGCATACGGACTTACGGACGGACGGACGGACGCACTTATGTACGGACAGTCACATGAAAACCATATTTTTTTAGATCGATGGGTGACCAAATTTTTCTAAGGTATGGGGCTCCGCTCGCAGGCCTTCGGCGCGTAGGAGGTCCGCTATGAATTTCTATTTTACCCCGATATTTCTCAATTGTCGCCATCTCTTCAGTACGCAGATCGGTTTAAAAACCTGTTCAAACTAAGTATGTAATGCAAGCGATCAATTCCAAAAGAAAATTAAATATAATTTATAATAATGCCATGGTGTTTACGCTTTCTCCGAAATACGTAGAACTTGACAATTTTCCGTTGTTGTTTTGCATAGGACGGCTACAGAAATAGCATTTCGTGACGCATGGGCAATGGCGTTGCTATTGAATAATCTTTCGTAATTAAGCTCTCTGATTGGTTAAAACTCTTTTCTCCCCAACTTTCATTAAAATTTTTCCTATAACGACGTATGATTTAACGCATCCGCAGAATTGTTCATCTGTTACCAAAGCTTAGGCTGATTTCGAAGAAAAATATTGGAAAAGAGAAACTTCTTGTACGGTAAGTCGCTTTTGTAACCACACGAAGTTACAACGCTAACACTTACGGTTACATTACTGTCCTCCATTCCCTGGGCTAGTGCCAAGCATGTGGCGCAGAATAATTCGGTCCTGAAACTTCTTCCTGTTTGATTCGCGAAATTCAAGCATTAAGTCTACCCGCTTATAATATATTGTGACACGCAGAAAGCCAATCTGCAACCAAGTGTCTACAAAGAAAAGGTGTCAATTCTAGGACCCCACTTACATGTACATGGTTTACGAACAGACAAAACCATCGCTTGTAAAAGGTGCGTTTTCTTGTTACTAAGTAAGAAAACTATATTTAATATCGTTTTCACATTTAATTAGGATAAAACTCGATACTATTTATTAAATTCTTGATTATAACAACACATCTTTAAGAGTTGAATATCGACGAATTAGTTATAATTAAGGGACGGATTATATTCGCGTAATAATCTAAGAGGCCAAATATACTGATATCAGTATCTATTCCATGACATCTTCTGAGGGAGTAAAATTCATTATAAAATATAATATGAAAGATATATTTCATACTTAGTGGCTGTCAGTAAATGCTTGTGAAAATCATTGCTGTCGTCAAGGGTTCGAAAAGCAAACACGGTTTCGCACGCAGTTCTTTTCCTTTGCAAACCAATGGTCTGACAATTCTTCTTCTCGCCAATGTCGCGTTTAGATATAAACACCCCCTGCTGGACTTTTGATAATCGTGAAAAAAGGGACTGTTGGAGTGTTGGTAAACAGTCTACAAATTTTAGGCCCTGGGGTACGAACTGTTTGCATTAAAAATTAAAAGCGTAGCGACCATGTGGGTGCACGCAAGCATTTGCAGACCTCCGGAAATAAAGAGAAAAAATTAACAAATTGACGTCAGTTTTTTATGCGTCTTTCTTCTTATTGATGATAAATTGCGTCATAACGTTGTCGACGTAGCTGTGGAACCACGAGCCGCAAGCGAGTGGTTCCGCAGTAACCTTTGACAATGTAACCTTTTTTACAATAACAAGACCCAAAATGGTCAAATGCCGGGAATAAAAGAAGAGAAAAGACGCCGTTAACTTGCCGTAAATAGAGATAAGTGAATTTTATTCAAAATGACGCCAACTTTGTCAATAGCTTTTCTCACGTTTTGATTGGCTACTTAAAAAAGTCCAAAAAATCTCATCGGTTAAAAATCTAGGTTCTAGACCTTTATATTTATGATATAAATAGTTTTCAAAAATTTGTAACAGTTGACTATTAAAATGCATTGGAATTGAATACAATGTTTCTCAGCGCTGTTTGTGTTCTATTTTCAATAAAGCTCCGATGGCCTAAGAACAAGAGTTTATACGTTGCGGAGATGACTTAAAGTAAATCTAAGATAAACCTGACTTAAAATAAATCTAAAACGTGAATAACATCACAAGTTTATATACAAAATGTAATTTTGTTGAATTTTTTAAACAAAAATGTCGTGTTTAATTAGGTGTGGGTCATGTAACTTTTAACCTTCGTTTAGGGGTGGGTCACTCAGTTTTGTGCCAAATGGAAAAGCTGGGCCATGTGTTTTTTATCCCCCCACCCCCACAGTACTTTTGGACCAGTCCCTAAATACTCGACGTGTGTTTCCATGTTTTGATTCATGATACTATTGCTTGGAAAACGCACTTCCCAACCCCTAATTATAAAGACAGTAACATTCTCTCGGGCGTTCACCCAAACCTCCCTTGCGGCTCGAGCATTTGGCGTCAAAGGTGTTAATGAAGGATATATTTCTCTGAAACATTTTTTCTATATCTTCTTGAATCAAATGCAATAATGTAGACAAATTCGAAAATTTTACGATGTTTTAAATCTTTAATCAAACCAGTTCAATTTCGTTCGTTTCTAGAAGGAGCTCGCACTTGGAGTGGAGTCATTTCGCTTCACCCCCTGGGAACATGCTTCATCGGCGACAGCACTGTCTGTTGTTTCCTTGCAATTGGTTGTGTTCACTCAGAAGGAGACAACAAGGCTCGAAGAAATTCAAGATAATCCAGCTCTCTCTAAGTCTTGTTTTGGTAACGGCTTTAATAACGTATTTCAGTGTCTTTCCCTTCAATAAGTCCATCTATGATCATGAAACACGCTCACAACTTATTGAAGCTCGTAACTCGGGCTCAACGTTCAGCCGTTTTAACGACAAGCCATCTTCAGGCAGTGGCGCTCTCTCTCTGTCGAGTGTGGCTCCTACTCTGAACTGGACTTCAGGCAGTTTGAAGCCCATACCCTCTTCCGCGGAGCCTGCCATTCTTCCTGATTTTAAATCATGGAAAACAACACCCCAGCACAAAACTACTTTGATAACCAAGACTGTGTGTACACGGCACTACCCTCTGCTCATCCTAGTCTCGTCTGCACCAGCAAATTTTGAAAGAAGATATTTGATTCGTCAAACATGGGGTGCCGATAACAGCACCGTTCCTCAGTGGAAGACATACTTTCTTCTTGGTCAAACACGAGATCCAGCACGATCAGATTTGCTCAAAAAAGAAAATAGCATCTATGGCGACATGATTCGTGCGGATTATTACGAACATTACTGGAACCAGAGTTTGAAGATACAGATGGCCTTCGAATGGGCAGCCAGATATTGTGAGTTTTCTTACCTTCTCAAAGCAGACGACGATGTGCTCGTCAACGCTAAACGTTTACTAGATGTCTTACACTTGAAATCAACGCCTAAGAAAGGCCTTTATATGGGTAAACGTCACCGCAATCCGATTGTACAACGAAGTGGAAAATGGCGTGTCAGTTATGAAGAGTACAGAGGAACACGCTATCCAGATTTTTGTAGTGGTGCTGGCTTTGTTATGTCATATGATGTTATCGAGAGCGCGGTTCCTTTATTTGATGTGATTAAGCCGTTTAGAGTGGACGATGTGTATGTTGGAATGCTCGCAGAAAAACTCGGTGTAAGAGCAATGAACCATAAAGGGTTTGTTATTTTAGGTCCTAGCAAGAAATGTAATTTTTTTCCCAACACTCTTGTGCAGCATCAAGCTATCGGAGAATGTTTAATTCGACTGTTTATGAATCACAAGAACCTTTAACTCTATAGTTAATTAACTTTATGGTAACATTTATCTTGTTTCTATAGAGTTTTGGTAGAATTCTACTACAGTACGTAGTCAGTAATCCAAATACTTCGATTGGATGGGCTATCGTATACTATCAGCCATTATTAAAATATAATTCATACTAGATCATCGGATAATGCAATTCAAGAGTTTTCATTGGCTTAGCCATCTTGGTACATGACTAATTACACCATGCTCTAAAAATATGATAAGCATACGCGTAATTTTTGGGGGCGTTTTTGTTTTTATTGCGTTCGACAGAACGCAGTTCTAATCGCGTAATGCAGAAAAATTCGAGATCTGTGCATCTATCTATCTATCTATCTATCTATCTATCGGGGGACACCAATTTGGTCCCCCCTAAAATTCTTTAGGGGCAAATGACGTCATGTCCATGTTTGTCCATGTGCTTTCTTTCGAGTCTTGCGCAATATTGCGGACTTTCGAGTGTCGAAGAAGCTTATTGTGGACTCTAGCGGATACTGAAGTTGTTTATTCAAAGTTCGAAGTCAGTGTTAATGGCATTTAAAAACCTTGTAGACATGTCTTCACGAAATGTGTACGACTTTTCGAGGCAGCTTATTGAAGACTGTAGCG